AAGTAGGTTAAAATTTTCAATTGGTTCTCCATAAAGTTGAGTGAAAATTTTGGTTTTTCATAGGACAATTTTTTAATTATGTCCCTTATGTATGCATGAAATTTTTGAAATGAGGTACATAACTTTATAATATATTACTACTTCCGTTATATATTATTTGCAACTTTGGAGTATTATTTATGAGATATAAAATATTCCATAGTTGCAACTAATATGTAACGGAGGAGTAATATGTCATCAATGAAATTAACTCTTTAATAAGAATATAATTGTTGTAGTCATGTCCAATAGTTGGCTTATTCTCCATATATGAACAAAGTACATTTTTCCACAACTTTTTTTTCCACAACTTGTTCTATGAAGTACGAAGTTTTTATTAGTGACATCTCCCATTTCACAAACAAACAAATAAATAAATAAATAAATAAAAAGGAGGCATTGACTTTACTTGACTTGACTCAATCTTGATTTGCAAATTAAGTTCTGATGACTAAGTCTATGGTTCAAATCTACAACCACATGTGATACAAGATTACAAGATGGATTGAGGAAAAGAGAAGATGAATCACTCAACTTAGCTTTTATGTAAATATTCAAAAGTGTCGACATTCTTACAGTTTTTATTGACAAAGTACACTATTAGTAATTGTTTTCGCAACTTGAACTAATACAACATTTTTTTGTGTTTTTGTTTTTGTTGCCACATGATTGTTATCTGAATTTTTAGAATATTACACACGCAGCACTGAAGTGTTTGGCGTGTAATTGGGAAGTTAAAGCCAATATAATAATTGTATAGTTCACTTTCAATTGAATAAAATTGACGTTGGAATGTGTTCATATTAATGCATATTTTTCCGATATTAATGAATTAATAAATATTTTCCTATGATATGTGTACACAATAATTTTCTTTTATTTTTCATCTTAAAATTCAATATTGTGTGAAAAATGTACATATATTTTGTGAACTTGATCTGTATGACTATGTACTGCATCAGTTTTTATTATGCAACAAACTCCTAAAAGAATGCATGTGAATTAAACAATGCTAGCTTTAGTATATACGGAGTACTTCGTATTGTGTGTTCTATTCACCTGATTTTCATTTATCTGAACTTATTATACCTTATTGTACTTTATACTTAGAATAATAACTTATTTTTCCTAAATTAAATTTATCTGAACTTAAATAATAAGTAAAAAAAAAGGTGAACAAAATCGTCTTGTTTGGTAGCTTACTTATTCCTACTAAATGTTAGCTAAACCAGGGGAGCACAACACTACTTACCTATTTACTCATAATGCAACTAGATTAATAACTTAATGAGTACCCGTCTATATAGTTCTGAAAATAATATATTAAATCTATGATTACATACATACATATCGTGTGTATATATATATATATATATATATATATATATATATATATATATATATATATATATATATATATATATATATCACTATTCTTATGATTATATATTTATATATATATATACATATCATATATATCACTATATTCTTTTTGAGAATTATTGTGACTCATTAGCAGAAATAAATACTTTATGATATATATATATATATATATATATATATATATATATTCCAATTATCCATCCATTGCATCATCTCATGATTGTCATCAACACATACGAAGTATATAACAACGCAATGCAAACCCTCTCTTAATTAGGAAGAAGCCTTGTCACATGCAAGGAACAGGCCTTGGTTGAGACAATTGACAATGCCATATCTATGATAATAGTGATGTTACAGTGACATATTATTGTTTGAAAATTAATGCAAGTAATAATCTTAAACATAGATGTTCAACTCGATCTTAAGAGTTATCGAAGATACGTTATTGTTCTTCTCAACAATCTCAAGCCATATGTCATAATCTTAACGGTAAGTTCCAAGACATTTCAAGTTTCAACAAAACAACATTCTCATCCATTGTTCTTGCTAAGCTACTTGCATAGTACACCAATGGTTCAATATCGATTGAAACAATTTGATAAATTTTTTGTTGAACATGGAGATGCACCAAAATGTGAACGTTTTGTTAAAGGACCAACATGTAGATGCACCAAAATGTGAACGTTATTGAACATGGAGTACAGTTCACCAATTTGTGAACTTAAGCTGATGGTTGAAGTCTAGATATATGTTTTATAATTCTATCATGCTCTCTCATACGAGAGCCCGTTGGGCTTGAAGTGTGAATGTAACATGGGTCCTTCTCATATCTAGCGCTTAATATTCCACTTGAAAGTGGAGGTGGATGAAATTTGAACCCGTAACCTTTGTGTCATATATGTTGGCTCTGATACCATGTTAAAGGGTCAACTCAACAAAAGATTAAGGTAATGGTTGAAGCCTAGGAATATGTTTTATATTCTATCACGTTGTATCAAGTATGTCCCAATGGATCGAAACACGTCCAAGGGGGCGTATTCGAATTAATTAATCTTCGAGCATTGATCTGCATAACTTCTAAATTCTAATGCAAAAAAATGTGAGATTGGAATAAGGCCAGCCAAATCCCTTCTACAGTTCTCTTCTTTATAAATCTTCGATCATTGACCTGTATAACTTTTTTTAACTAGTTAATCATATATTTAGGGTTATTTTCAATTCCATTGTCATATTGATAATCGATTATTTAGCTGTGCGCTTTGTCAATATGTCAAAATCAATAATTATATACGAAGTATTAAAATCGATCTTCTTTGAATTTAAGAAAATGATGAAGAGTTTAGAGTTAAGGAGTAATTAAGGGTATATTCTGCACCAGTTTATTTATTAATTTTTTAAAAATATTGTAAGAAACTAGCTACTTCCTGAAAAACTACTAAATATTGTAAGTTGCTACCCCTTATTGGATTTAATGATAGGAGGGGAGGGGAATTGGGGATTATAAGGGGGCTATTGGCCTGGGAAACTGGGCGAGAAAAGGGGCGGGGGCAGGGGGGGGGATCGGGGGAAGGGTGACAAATAGGTCATTAAACGTCTCTTACATTTAGTGCATGTGTTATAAGGTAGTTTCTTACAACAAATTTTATTTGTCAGGTAGTTTTAACAAAAATTTGAAATGTCTGAAATAGTTTTAACAAAAAAAATAGGAGTACTTATTTATATAATGCCCTTAAATTAGGCATACTAATTAAATTGACAATAGAATAGTGGAAACTACTTTTAATTATTATATGAGGAAACCATAAAAAATCTATTGGAAACCGTTAAGTTTCATTTTTTTTAAAGTAGGGATTTAACGGTTTATTTCCTTTAAAATTGGCATGTAGAATAGAGGAGATTTTATATTTCTGCTTCATTTTTATAAAAAGTTACTGAGAATAGGAAATTAAAAACGACAACAATTGAGTGAGCCTTAAAATACTGTGTTCTAATTCATATTCACTTATTTCATGAAAACTAAGGTTAAATTGGTTCTAATACGCAATAATTAAGTTCATTATTAAAAAACTAAACTAAAATAATATGGTCTAATAAGTTCAAATGAATTCAGGATAATGAGATCAGATTAGATGAACTGATAAGTTTACCTATGTTCAAATATAAGTCCATCTAGTGAAAATCATGTGCATTGAATGCACTCTGATTTCATATTGAAGGTATTTTTCAATAATTTCAAAGAGGTTAGACGATTTAAGATGCTATCTTCCACACTTCCGATATCACTAATTAAATAGATTCATGCATTCGTATTAGACAGCATCCTATCTTTATACTGTATCTGTATGCATGGTACGATTATACGCTTATACCTTATATCTGTACTAAGAACAAGAATTGCACCAATTATGATTTATGCCAACATCCTATCTTTATACTGTATGCATGGTACGATTATACCTTATATCTGTACTAAGAACAAGAATTGCACCATTTATGATTTAAGAGATTATTCTCTGAGAGAAGTGGAAGGGAGCCTACCCGGCCACAAGGCCTCATTCAGCTTATTCCTCTCATAATTTCATGCACTAATTACTTAGTTAGTCATATCTGATTGACTCTTTTTATTACTGTTATTTACAAAGCATGTTTTGCCATTATTATGAGAGAAAAAGGGCAAATAACATGTACTGTTGTCTTATTTTTCACACCAAAGATAAAAGTTGCTGTTATTTACAAAGTGTATTCTTTTTTTTGTGACAAAACACAAAAGGGTGTTAATGTTCTCAACGTTACTTAACCCCACACACTTGAGCAAAGGAGAACGTTTATGTTGCACAACAGCACAAGGATGATCCTCTGCACCCACATTTACGATGCAAGTTAAAATTTTAAAAGGCATTAAATGTAGGTGAGTCGGATTTGCATTCATTTTTATTTTATTGATACTTATTTTTGATAAGAATATTATAAATTTATTTGTAGTAGATTTATATTAAAATAGATTTTTTCAACACAAAATATTTTTACTTGTAAAACCTACAGAGTATCATCCTAATTTAGTATAGACCATACAAATTGGATAGGACTATAAACGATCAATTAGATCAAAAGCTTATGTGTTAACAAAGTTTAGAACATAACACCTAAATTCAAGCGAATTAAAATGAGCATAACCTAGTTTTATCCAGCACGCACTTTTAACATTATGGTAACGACAAAATATACTTTGCGAGTTAAAAAAGTGCTAATTTGTAATGTTAATGCTACTCGTATATGTTAATTTTGGTTTAGCTAATACAATCAAGACATTACTAAATAATCTATAAATATCTTTTGTGATTTCATTTTTAAGAATCATCAGATCATAATATAACAATTGACAATGTGATCAAATTACCGCCTTAGAAAAGAGATAAGAAAGTAGTAATGTGAAAATAGACATAGGAATGCCAAAGGTGATTTACTCATACCAATCAAATCCAAACAAGTACAAAACAAAAAGTTTTCTTAAATTTCCACAACTCTTAAGTAAACCTCACCACCTTAAGTTTCCGTTACCCAACCCGTGGATTGAGTCAGTCAATCCAATAACTCGGAAACTCTTCTAAACGCGTCTTTTATAACTCAACCAAAATCCTAGTCTACTATATTGACTAAAATACCCTTGTTATCCCACTAATCAATAAATTCATACACCTATAAAACGGTTAACTTCGTCACAATAATATTAAAATATATATGACAAACAAAATTAATCGTATAATATATGATTTTCATATAATGAAAAAAAAAACAGAAGGAAAACGGCTATCTCTCCCTAAAAAGCCTGAAAAAAAGTCTTAACAACTGCGCCCCATTATCATATATTTAGCCACATAACCCTCTTTCCCTTTCTTTTCTCTTTTGAACTATATTTTTATTATTATTCATATTTTTTTCCTTTAAATTACTTATATAACAACTACAAGTATATATTTTTCCTTAGTTTTTCATTATCTTTTTTTTTTGCATACTGGAAAAACAAATCGCCTGCAATTTCGCCAATCTGTGTTTTATTGTTGTTCCAGATTTTGATTTTTTTTATTCCTGGGTTTCGTTCATTTGCAAAATTACTGAAAAAAGTTGGGAAATTTTTGTTGGATAGAAGAGATAAAACTGAGATTTGTGGGAGTTTTTTTTTTTCCTGAAATATCTGGGTTTTTTCCCTGAAATTTTTTGGGTTAAATTTGATTGAAAAAAAAAAAATTATAAATTTGTTGTGATGTCGACGAAAACGGGTAATGCGAAAGATTTAGCAGAGAAAATGTTGTTGATGGCTGAACAAGGTGGGCATTATTGTTCCAAAAAAACCGATAGTTTGTGCAAAGATTGTTGTTGCCAGGTAATTACTTTCTCTCTCTATATTTTTACAAATTTTGGGATTTTTTTTTTTGATCTGAATTTTCTTTACATTATTGGATTTATTTGAATGATTCCCTTTAATTTGTTTGATTGAATTTGCTTGATTTCTGATTAATTTGTTGATTTTTATTAGTTTTTTCATCTGGGTATTTGTGAATCTTTTGAATGTTCTTCAGAACATCTTTGAATTTTCAATTTAGGATTAATGGAATTAATGACATTATTAATATGTGTCCCTGATTGTATACACCTGTATAGATCTATTTGGTTTTAATTATATATTTTGAATTGGGTTTCTTCTAGAAGTTTCAATGCTTCTCTTTGAAACTAATGAATTCTGTGTTTTATTTTGCAATTTGTATGATTATTATTCCATTTCAATGTTTCTGATATAACAATAAAGAACATAAATTTTGAATGGTATAGACATTTAGGATTGGATTTGTTGAGTATGAAGAAATTGGTACATGCTTTTTTTGAATCTGAATTTTAAGATATGGTGTTGATTACTCAGTTACTTATGAAATATGTTCTGTTTATCTTCTAGCAGTCAAGCAAATCAAGCATGTCTAGATTATGCTGTGTTCTTCGAGGGATCGATTTGAAGGTCTGTTTGTTCTTGTTCTTGATCGTACCGATGTGCACCTTGGGCATCTATATACATGGCCAGAAAATCACATATTTTCTCCGACCGTTGTGGGAGAAACCACCAAAGCCTTTCAATGTTATTCCACACTACTACACTGAAAATGTGACCATGGAAAATCTCTGTAAGCTTCACGGTTGGGGGGTTCGTGAGTATCCAAGACGAGTTTATGATGCGGTTCTGTTTAGCAATGAAGTTGACGTACTCAATATAAGGTGGCAGGAGCTGTACCCTTACATTACACAATTTGTGCTTCTTGAGTCGAACTCTACATTCACAGGGTTGCCAAAGCCTCTGGTGTTTGCTGCCAATAGAGATCAGTTCAAATTTGTTGAGCCTCGTTTGACTTATGGGACTATTGGGGGTCGGTTCATTAAGGGTGAGAATCCGTTTGTTGAGGAAGCATATCAGCGTGTTGCATTGGATCAACTCCTAAGAATTGCGGGTATTTCAGATGATGATTTATTGATAATGTCTGATGTTGATGAGATACCAAGTAGGCATACCATAAATCTGTTAAGGTGGTGTGATGATACCCCTGAGGTCCTTCATTTGCAGCTAAAGAACTATTTGTACTCATTTGAATTTCTTGTGGATAACAACAGTTGGAGGGCTTCGATACACAAATATCAGACAGGGAAGACGAGGTATGCTCATTACAGACAAACTGATGTCCAATTGGCTGATGCTGGGTGGCATTGCAGCTTTTGCTTCCGCCGTATAAGTGAGTTTATTTTCAAGATGAAAGCTTATAGTCACAGTGACAGAGTGAGGTTTTCTCACTACTTGAACCCCAAAAGAATTCAGAGTGTAATCTGCAAAGGGGCCGACTTGTTTGATATGTTACCCGAGGAATACACGTTTAAGGCAATCATCGGAAAGATGGGACCTGTCCCTCATTCTTATTCTGCTGTTCATCTACCATCGTATCTTTTGGAGAATGCTGATAAGTATAAATTCCTCTTGCCTGGAAATTGTGTCAGAGAAAGCGAGTGAGCCTCTTGAGCCGGTTTTGGTTTTCTGATGCGGCTGGTTTGACCTATTTTAGGGTGGTATTCCGAGATACATTTGACCAGAACTTTTTTCTCTGTGATGTTTGAGGAATCACATTGGTCAATCGGAGTTTTTGGGAGTTCTGTACATATCTAATTCCTGGGGCTCGGTTTTGTTTGGAAAATTGGTACATATCCAATTACTTATAGAGGGAACTTCCTGTTGGATCATGCCTGGAGGAGCTAGCTTGGTATGGCATGACTAATCTCATATACTCTTTTAGATTGAGGAAATGCTGAGAGGCTGTTTCGAGCGATAGACAGTTTTGTGTTGTGGTTTTAGACTAATATATTCGTATATTCTTTCACCTCCTGTCTTTGCTATACTGTGTTCTATGGATTCTTCTGGCTTACTTCTCATTTATCCAATTCGTTAATTTTTTTTCCCGTTCTTGCTTTACCCTTTACAATGTTCATGAATCATGTTCGATGATTGTAAGCTACAAGCTATGATCAACCCCTTTGCCCCCCGCCCCCCCCCCCCCCTTTCCCGGCAAAGAAAGCGAAAAAGAAAAGAATAAACCAATTTAGAAGAAGAAAAATCCATCTGTTAGTTTGCTGGGAGTTTTTCATTCTAAGCGTTCCGGTAGATGAAAGATGTTTTCAGACAGCTGTGGTATAGTATATAACGCTGGATAGGAAGAATTATTGCTGTTGTATTCGTATACCACTAAATGCCTTCTCTATTAAGGTTTCTGAGTCATTCTTCACTTACTAGTGTTGTCAACAGAAGGGGATATTTTCAAGTAGAGCTAGCAAAACTGTACACGACCGAAAAACCGTCCATAACTCTTATATTCAGAAATAACCCAAAGAAAATACACAAAAAAGGGTTGTTCAAAGTGCGACCCAAAAATTAACCTATTCCGAACCTGAAATCACCTTACCTTAAAATAACCAGATTTGAAAAGTGGAATACTTTATCCATTTATGGAGAATGAATTACAATTATTATTTTTAAATAGACATTTATATTTGCTTGCTTTGGAAAATGAAAACTTTAGCTTAAAAGTTTTTAGATATTTTTTGTATGCTGATGAATATAAGAAAATTCTAAGTGGGCCTAGATTGAGGTTGCGTTTGGCTAACTTCCCATGTTGAAGTACTCTGTCCTTATTATTGTCATGTGCTTCATGGTTGTCATGTCTGCTTACCCAGTTCTAGTTGTAGTATATTTAATTAATTAATCATTTGTAACTTTAATTTATATAAGTTTCCTGCTGTTTTTGAACAAAATTTTTATAATCCTACTTTTGTAGTGGACAGGTTCTTATAATCTTATTAACAGATGAACTAATATTGTATAGTTTGAGTGTTATTTGTGTATATTTTTTGGAGCTACGTGTTATACGATTATTACACACTTGGAATCTTGGATGTAGATTATTTTATCTTATCAATGACAAAGTTTTGAATGGTAGCAAGTCTAAGAACTTACTGCGAGATCAAACTGACTTTTCTATTTTTTGACAGGAATTTTTTTCTTTTTTTTTGAAACGGTTTGGCACGAGGTTTTTTATACTTTGTATTAGAGTTTTATTATTTTACTTTGCTCATTTTAAAAATTATTCTGAGATAATACTATCTAAAACTTGCTCCATATATGTATGGTTCAATTCACTCGATCTATGTGAAAACAAATGGCTTATTGCATATTTTCTCTAGTACTCCGTATGATGGTAACTCTTATGATCAATTAGTTAGAGATTAAGTTAAATAAGATGGCGAAAATATTTGTCTTCTGAACTTTCTTTTTAGATCTATGGTTTACACTTCTTGTACTTAGTTTGATTAGTATAATAGGAAATCAAATTAATTTAAATCTCTTGAAAATCCGAGTATATTCTACTATTGTCCTGTTTTATGGTGGTGGTTATAGATGTATCAAAAGATATGAACTTTTCTGTAAAAAAAAAGGGAAAAAAAAAAGATTTTTTTTGTGTTGATTGAAGCCTAAATATCAAATATCATGGAGCACCAATTTTTGCGTTAAAAGAAAGTTGTCAACATGTCACAAATACAGTGGAGTTATTCGTAAACCGATAGAGAAATAATTAAGTGGGCATCACAAATCACAAAATTTGTGCTTGTCCTTCTTCTTTGCAACTTTGCCTGTCCTTTGCCTATCGTCTTCAATTGGTTGTATGTGGGGGGAATAGTTGATGGGTCCTATATATGATGGTTCAGTCATTTTTAAATTTTGATGATTTTTTTCCCGTTAGGTTAGCATCACATGAATTAGTACATACAAGTAGGTTTGAATGGGTCACCAAAGAAGATCTACTCTAATTTCGTCATTTAGTCAATCTATTAAAGCTTTTAAATTTAATTTTGATCCGTGCTTGTATGCTAATTTTCATGCCACCAATCGTTCTTTTTGAGTTGTGCCCTTCTGCCTATGAGTTATGTGCTTTATGTGATCCATTTTTCTAGAGGGATTGTTGTTTCCTCATATTGTTATTGTCCAGAGAGTGAGATATAGCTCAAGTGATTAGAGCTCCTCCCTCGATTTCTGAAGATATTGGGATCGATTCTCATCACCGCCCTTGTAGCTCTTTAAACACCAAAAAAGAAAAAGAAAAAAAAAATATTGTTATTGTGGACAAAAAGATTGTCACCTTGGATAGGTTTTAAATACCCAATTAATGATTTAGCAACTGTAGTCGTCAAAGTTTCAAAGAATATTTCATGCCACAATCGAGTTGATTTTATTAGTGTCCCCAAAATTGAATTTGTCAAATTATAGAGAAGGGAGCTCCTAAGCAGTAACAAGAGTGGAATGATGCATGTTGCATCTTGAACATGTGATATTTGTTTTGATTAGTCAATATTATCAATTTAATTTCGATGGTTTCATCAAAGTAAAAATAAAACTGTTGTATTAAAGACACGTATATTATTTTTCATTTCGAAAAATGTGACAACTTTGCTCATTCCAAAAAAAAAAAACAAAGACGAACGTAATTGTTAAGGTTGTCATGAGTTTAGTCGACAGTTATGAATGTTAGAGGACCATCTCAATAAAAAGATTAAGTTGATGGTTGAGGTCCAAAAATATGTTTTATACTCTATCATGACTCCTTACATGAGAGCCCGTTGGGATTGAAGTGTGGATGCAGCATGGGCCCTACGTAAACTATTCCACTAGAAAGTGGAGGGGGGGGGGGAGTGGATGAAATTTGAACCTGTGACCTTTGTGTCACGCTGGCTTTGATACCATGTTAGAGGAAACATCTCAACCAAAATATTAAACTGATGGTTGAGGCCAAAGAATATTTTTTATACTCTATCACTAAAACTAAACCACCTTAAATCCAATAATCGAATCCATCCAAATTTCTTCGAAGTGGTTCTACGTATTCCTTATAGGAGAGGGGTTTTTTTTTTTTGGATGATAACATGAAGGGTCTTTGTAGGCCGAAACCCCTCACAGATCAACCCTGTCCGGATCAACAGGCTAGATAATTTGAGAGATTGGGGCGGGGTGGGGGGAGGTGAGGAAATATCACTCCCCTAAGTTATCACTAGTGGAGATTAAATCTCCGGATACTCTCCTTTCCACTAAATCAAACTTAGCTTGATTTCCTTATATGAGAGGGGTAGAACTAGAATAAATGCATGCGTCGAAGTTTCTTGGGTTGATTGCCAAAGGGCCCAAGCAATTAACCTAGTGTCGTATTTAGTCACTTTCAATCCCCAATAAAACTACAACGTTAACCTCTCCCTTCTCATGTACAAAGCAACAACTTAACCGCCCCATTACCTTCATTTATTTGTACGGGTTTTTCTAGTTTCTTAATGAAAGTGATAATCAAGTCATCATTTAAAGTATTAACTTAGATGACATGTTTCTTTTAACACGTTTGTCAATGCAAGAATTTATTTAAATACCTCTAACTATCAATAAGTAAAAATTATAAGAGTTGATATGTTGAAAATACACCTTAAGATGAATCTAACAATATCCAATAAACTTTGTTTTTTCTTAGCTATAAATCACAAAATCTAGTCAAAGTAGTGTTTGTGAATAGTGTTAAAAGTCAAATGTGTCATCTAATTTGGAACGGAGAAAGTATTTTATTTTATAATAACAAAAAAAAAAAAAAATCAAAATAACCTACTAATTAAAATCAAAACTAAAATTTAATATCAATCTGCTTAGCAGTAATTAACAACTTAGCACCACAGCTTGTTGGGCTTGGTTTTGATTATCTTTACGACGAGCCAGATATGCCTAGAAAGGTCCAAAGCCCATAACTTGTAAATAACCTCTGAAGCCCAAGGCCCCCGGCAAGAGTTAAAAAATGGACACTAGTCTATTTAATTGTGTTAATGCAGTAATATGAAATTCATAATCAATATTATCATAGCTACAAACTTCAATCTATTTGTGAAAATGTAGTAATATGAAATTCATTATCATAAAAAACTTCAATTAGGGAATTATGCAAAAGTATATATATAGCAACACATAGATTTCCTCACAATTAGTACGATTTCTCACTAGTTATGTCTCATCTTAATTGGCTTTGTTGGATTATAAACAGCCTAATTATCCCCAATTGTTGAGGTAATCAATAGTCAATACACGAGTCACACCACCAGATTTAAGAAGTACGTAAGAAACGCATATTAGCAGCAGCAGCGGAAAAAGAGAAGTACCAGCTTGCAATTAAGTATAAATTTTGAGCAACAAGATTTGAGCAACTCTAACAGTAGGCTACAAGATATCGTAGCTTGCCATGCTATATCACTTTTTCAAGTAACATCAATTTCAAGCTACAAGTTGCCTAACATTTAGATACAATACCATGTAGCTTGCATGATCAATATTAAAAAGAAAATAACAAAAATAAAAACTAAGCTTTCATGTGTCATTTAAAGATTGGATTTTTTTTTTCAAGCAACCCTGCTTGTTTGGCAACACTTGCTTGCAAGCAGGGTTAATTTTTTCCTCTCCAATGGTTGGGCTACTATTATATATTCTTAAAAAATTGCAAGTAAGTTCCTACTATCAACCATTGGAGATGCTTTAATGTGGATGAAAGAGCTTGTAGCTTGCTCAAACGATCCCAAAGTTGCTAGCTGGTCATGGTAATTGATATATGCTTGTAAATGTGTTCTTTGGTAATTAAATTCATGAGGTTGTACTATTAAATAATTAAATTGTTGTCGTGTGACTCGTGTCACTGTGCGCATGCATTTGTCTCGCACAAACGAAGAGTGTAGTAATTTTAGAGTTTCAAAAATTCAATATTGATGTTGGAAAAACAAAACGACTTAAAATTAAACGGGTAATTTTTTTTTTTATCATTGTAATTTCTACAATACAAATATTTTTTCGCCAATGATTAATTTTAAATTGCAAAGTAATCAAAAAAATATTA